ACCCTTCTTACAAATCTAGCAGTCATCAAAACTTCAGAATTAAAGCAACTGTCATTGGCTAGGCAGAAAATGATGCTAAATTCTTTGTCAGAAGTGACGTTCTGCGTGGCTAAGCTTCCTAATTGAGGGCCCCATTTGTTGAATTATTTAAATCTGTATCATTGATTTTTGTAATTCATCTCTTCTTAGAATTATAGGATGTGAAAACCAGGTAGAAGAGAACTTAGAAATGATCACAGTCAGGACTAGCAGTTGGTGTAATGGCTATAGTGCTGGACTCCCATGTAGTCAACCACGGTTTGAGTCCTGGACCTGGTGGCTTAAACTCACACTGAGTGTGTGTGTATGTGTGTCTAAGATCCCTAGAGGAGAGTGGAGGAGAAAGGATTGCGGTATGGCCATCCCCCCGGGATGGCAGGTGATTTCTCGCTTTCTTTCTCTCTGTCTCTGTCTTTCTGGCGAGCGCACACGCCCTATAGCAAAAACTTCTCAAAAAAAAAAAAAAAAAAAGAGGGAGCAGCAGTTAGCATAATGGCTATGTCACTGGACTACCACGTAGTTGACCACTGTTCGAGTCCTAGACCCGGTGGCTTAAATTCACGCCGGGTGCGTGTGCGTGTGTGCCCAAGATCCCGAGAGGAGAATGGAGGAGAAGGGATTGTGGTGTGGCCATCCCCCCTGGGGGGTGATTTTTTGCTCTCTGTCTCTGTCCATCTATGTCTGGCTGGCAAGCGCACACGCCCTATAGCAAAAACCTCTCAAAAAACGAAACAAACAAAAAAGAAATGACCATAGTCAGGCCTCCAAGTGGCTTGGTGGTTAAGATGCTGGGATGCTGGACTCTCACATGGCTAAATGGGGTTCAAATCCCAAATCTGGTGGCTCACTTTCCCTCTTCCTCGCTTGGTCAGCGCGCATGCACAGTAACAAATTGAAAAGTTGTAATAATTAAAAATAAATAATTCTAAAAAGAAAACCATGATCATAATCTAGCCTCTTCATTTTATATGTAAGCAAATGGAGACCTAGAGAGGTTTTGAATCAAATAGGAGCCCACAGTGAGTGGAGGGCTGAACCAGGCCTGCTGCAAACAGGAGCAGCAGGTCGGCCCACACTGCTCTGCTGTTTCTTCTGTGCTCAGACCCGGTGGGTATAGGTGGACCTCAGGTTAGAAGTCGGGCAGAATGATGAAAAAGGAACAGTTTTAGAGGTGTAGTGAGACATACGCTGATGTTCACTGTTGTAGTTAGACCTTAAAAATGCATCTTGATAATGTGTCATGCAGATACCTGGAAAGTTCACACAGAATCGTTCCACTGGTGAAATTTTGCAACTGTCTTTTCATAATAGGTAAAGCTGTTCCTGCAGGTATGTGTGTGGCTTGCTCATTGCACTAGTCATGTTTACGGACTACTTTTTCTGGACTATTTTTGTTAGGATTAGTTTGTTTTCCAAGTGCCAGGCCTGTTTCAATTTATGATACAGATGTCCCTTCTTTTGTAACTTACTCTCTTGAAATAGCTCCCTCTCTTACTTGATCCCCAAAGTATCAGAATGCTATGTGCTAAAAGTATGATGCTGTTCACAAAATGAGAATTTGCTTAGGGGACCAGGAGGTGGCTTGGCGGTTGAGGCCCTGGACACTTCACATGGCCAACCATGGTTCAGGTTCCTGACCTGGTGGCTTGCTTCCTCACTTTCCCTCTCTCTCTCTTTCTCTCTGTGTGTCTCTCTCTGGTCAAATTAAAATGAAGTGAATAAATAAAATTAAATAATTTTTAAAATGAATATGATTAAAAAAATAATTTGCTTAGTGTTGGCGGGAAGACAGGAGGCTTTCCTATCCAGACGAGTCTGAATGTTAATTTCTTTTGATTTTTTACTATGGCTAGGAGGGAAAAAAAAAAATCTGCAGTTTAGGAAGACTATTAGTTGTGTAATTTTTTCCCTCTCTAGCTTGAATGGAGTCTTAAACAAAACTTGGGTTCACATGTGCACTAGAAGACTGGGAGAGGTTTTATAAATTGAATATGGGGTTATTGTTTGTGTCGACAAAACAAAGCCCTAAATCACATTTAGCATAATTTGTGGTTTTAAATTGAACTGATTTAGCAGGGAGAGTGAAATAATCTCTCATCCTGTCAAAAAGGCGATACCTTTAGACCAGCATTTAATTGTGTTGGCAGAGTAACTTTGGGCAGGCGGCAGTAATTCTGGCTGCATTATTCTTGGTTTGTGGCTGAATTGAGATCATCATTTTCTCCTGGTTTCACTAACTTTCTTTATTGCTCTGCAAACTAATCAGATGAACTGAGTGAGAGGCTTAGTGGTAGCTAGAGGGTGGACAAGGGAAAAAGGCTGAGGTCTCCGGGCAGCTGCATTTCTCAAACTCGATGGTCTGGGAAAAGAACAGGGTATAAGATGAGGCTCAGAGACACAGAGGCATAGTCTGAAGATCTTCTCGTGTTCATTTGTTTTTTCAGTCTTTGTTTGTGTGTTTTTATTAGATTTTTGCTATAGGGCATATGCGCTTACCAGAAAAAGAGACAGAGACAGAGAGAGATAGGGAAAACAAGAAATCACCCCCTCCCAGGGAAGATGGCCACAACACAATTGCTTTTCCTCCAGTCTTCCCTTGGGATCTTGGGCATGCGTGCACACACGCCCGGTGTGATTTTTAAGCTGCCTGATCTGGAACTCAAACCGTGGAGTTGGTCATGTGGGATCCAACACCTTAACCTCCTACCACCTGCTGGTCCCTCTTGTGTTCATTTACTAAAAGACGTACCATTCATTTGTGCAAAAGTGTGCCAGCAGTTACCCAGCTAAAAAGTGCCTTTGCAGCTACATGACAGGTGGGCTTCCCCTGCATTCATGTTGATATCTAGGGTGCGGTTTCTGGAGGTGATGCCCAGCTGCCTAGAATCCCATGAAAATCTATCCTTTCAATTCCAGCCATTTCAGGATCTAATGCATGAGTTGGTCAATAGTCTACTGCCTCTTGTCCCACCATATTTTAGTCCAGAATGACTTATTCTTCACACTTTTTCTTCCCATGAAAAAGCATTTCCCTTATCTTTTACAAAGTTTTCCTTCTAAAGAAATTAGGTCAGCATTACCTTAGATATTTCATAAAGCTGAAAACAATGACTCAAAACTGTGATGAAGGGATCAGCAGTTGGCGTAATGGCTATGTCACTAGACTTCCATGTAGTCAACCACAGTTCAAGTCCTGGATCCAGTGGCTTAAACTCATGCTGGGTGCGTGCGTGTGTGTGTGTGTGTGTGTGTGTGTGTGTGTGCGCGCGTGCGCGTGCGCTCAAGATCCCAAGAGGAGAATGGAGAAGAAGGGATAGTGACATGGCCATCCCCCTGGGGGGTGATTTCTCGCTTTCTGTCTCTCTATCTTTCTCTGTCTTTCTGGTGAGCACATGTGCCCTATACCAAAAACCTTTCACAAAAAAAAAAAAAAAAAAAAAAAAAAAAAAAAGAAAAGAAAAAAGAAAAGAAAAGCAAAAGCAAACAAACAAAAAAACTATGATGAACAGTGTCCTGTCTTTTCTACTTTTATTCTTCTGGGAATTGTCAACTAGAGTTCTTGGAATGGCTATCTCTTTAAATACTGTAGATATTTGTTTGGAATTTCACATACCTTCTCTAGTGGGTCTTCTAAGCACAATTGCTGCTGGTTCTAGGTTTGGCTTAACTGCCAGGTTGGCAGGTTTCCCAGCCTCCTGGGACATTCTCTGGGGGTTGCTCGTGGGCTGGGGCATAAATTTTATTGACTAGAGATAATGACACCTTCTTGAGCTGGATGTGGGGTCTTAGCATTAGACTTTCCATGAACCTGGACAAGCTCATGGCCATGCAAATGTTGATAGGAAGATTGAATTGCAAACGAGATAGATGAATGACAATCCGTCTAGGATGCCAATTTCGAGTTTGTACTTTCAAAAACAAGTTTATTTATTGATATGTTCTGTGAGAAAGAGAAAGGGAAAGAAGGAGAGAGACAGCATCCCAACAGGATCTTCACATCATGATCCGCTCCCGGCCTCAGCCAGCCAGGATCAAGAGCATGCCCTTCCTGTTCAGGGAGACCTCGGGATGCAAACCTAAGACCTTCCTGTGTACTTTTAGTATCATGGAGCATTGCATTACCATTGAGCCACTGCAGCTGGCTAAGAGTTCCTATTTTTGAGGTAAAAATGCTTTTGGCTTTTACATTTGTATTTACCAGTATATTCTCTAGGGAAGGAGGAACTTTGAGGTCCCCATAGTTTATTTCCACCTTTGATCTGCATACTAGTATCCATAGCATACTACTGAGTTGGCTTTTATATTTCTCCATAATATCATCGAATCGAGTTGTTGCTAATCTGATGTAATGTATGTGTGTGTGTGTGTGCGTATTGATCAAGGTGCATTTCTCCTGAGGCCAAAATCAGAAACTGGGTAGGTTAAATATTTTATCCTTTATAGTTCAGCTTAAGAAGTCAGCTCTTCAGGTATTGGTTTAAACAGCTTGAATATACCATCACTCAGGAAGGAATTTTGTGATTGCTGTCTTTCTTCTGCTGGAAAATGCAAAGAAATGAAAAGGAAAAACACAAATGTATTTATTAGCAATTATATGATATTTATTTTTATAAGATAGGGTTATTTATCAGCTATTTGTAATACTCACTTTTAAGCTGTTATGGTACATCCTTCTGCCCTTTTATTATTTTTTTTAACTTCTTGCTTCCTCTCTTCATCATCCTTCTGATAAAAACTGTGCCAAGCACCTATGTAATCATACAAGAGGCATTTCTGCTCCTCCTCAGTCACTACCTGTGAAAAATACACACACAAAAAAAAACGATGAGACCTACATGTGAGTTAGGTGGTCATGCTGGAGCTACATCTCTCTTTCATTTGTAAGAAAAACAAAATGTGTTCCTGGCATTCTCTGCTAGGAGCAAGGTTCCGGGACTCACTCAGCATTTCTGTTTCCGTAGCTGTGCCACCAAACATAGCAGAACTGAAGAATTTGGAAGTGCTCAACTTTTTTAATAACCAGATTGAGGAGCTGCCCACACAGATCAGCAGCCTTCAGAAACTCAAACACCTGAACCTCGGGTGAGTATTGGTAGAGGAGAAAGGAAACGGAGGGGGAGAGAGTGGAAGGGGAGTGTGGGGTGGGGGCAAAGGAGTGCCATTTACATTACTGCATAGGAGTCGATGTCTAATTATGTTTTAGGTTTTAAAAAAAGTTTTATGATTTTAATACATCCGTTCAGTGGCCTACATTAGTGCATATCTATTTAAAAGCTAATTGAGAACCTAATTGTTGGCACGTTAAGAGAGTTTATTTTTTAAAATTGTATTTTGTTTTCAATAAAATTTTATATCAGTTATGTTGACCAAGAAGGGGCTTATTTGCATAGCATTAGCCATTCAGGCAAGTTGTAATATGGTTGATTTTGCTCTCTGCATTAAGTAGAAACAGTTTACAAAGCTCCTTGCTTCCATGAAGGGGCGGGTATACTTCCTAACACTGCTTCATTCATTATTGCATTTGTTCCATGTAGCTGAGAGGTTAGACTCCAATGTTTTTATGCAAAGGTGAAGAGAGGCGTGATTCAGCTGAGGTTGCAGAACCAAGTCGCAGCGAATCATAACAATAATGCCTTGGGTTCACGTATTACCTTACGGAGTTTTAAGTTCTCTTTCCAGCATTTGACCATCTCAGCATCTGTGAAGTGGGGAGGGCTGGTGTTAATGCTTTCATATCACAGAGAGGAAGCTGAGTCCTTTCCGAGAGGATAAGTGACTTGTTCCTGATTACGCCTGAGGCGACTGACTGAGCTGGGTAGAGAATCCCACTGTTCTGGGTTTGTACATTTGCAATCAGACTCCAGAGACCCCCGACGGGAACTTTGGCTTCTGAATTCCATCTTCATTGTTGGAGCTATTAGATGAAACTGCCCACTCATGCTTCACCCTCTGTGTGAAGTAATATGTCCATTAATCTGTAGCCTCTAAGTGTTGCAGTGAAGTTAGTGATTTACATGAAGTGGCAATAGAAGCTGGCCAGGTATTTATCAGTTTAATAGTAAGCAATCATGAAAAATATGTATCTCATTCATGGAATGGTTTTTTAGTTTGTCCTTTCCACAGGGAGTTGGAAAGACAGTCTTGCTTTGAGGTTCACTATGGATGAGAGCCTATCTTAGTAAGATCCACAGACATTCTTTTTCCTAATGTCTGAGGGGGGCCTGGAATGTAAAGGAGGGAAAAACATCACTTTAGGTGAAATCCACAAATTTGGATTATGTCCCCATTCAACAAAGCAAAAGAGAAGGAATCCTACATTTATCTCTTAGTTTTAAAGATGATTAAGTCCTAATGTTTAATTTATATTTGAGAAAGAAACAAAAATTAGATATATGTGTATATTCTTAGTGTTAATTTGTTCATCTGTTAAATATGTTTATACACACACTCACAGACACACATGTGCACACAAAAGAGGTCTTCAAAAGATTCATGGAAACTATTTTGCAAAAAACATGGATAGGTTTTAATTTTTTTGTACCAAAATAAACTCATACTTTAATTCAATTTTTCACAAAATTTTTTTTGTTGGGGGAGATGAGAGATTTTTGTTATAGGGTACATGTGCTCACCAGGGAAACAGAGACAGAGAGACAGAAAGCAAGAAGCCACTCACCAGGGGGAATGGCCACACCACAGTCCCTTCTCCTCCATTCTCCTTTCAGGTTCTTGGGCACACACGCACAAGCGCCTGGTGTGAGTTTTAAGCTGCTGGGTTCAGGACTTGAACCAGGTCAGCTATGTGGTAATTCAGTGACATGCCCATTACACCATCTGCTGGTCCCTTACACAAACATTTTGAAATCCCCCGTATAAATAAATGTATACACATGTATGTCTCATGTGTATGAACAGGGAACAGCACCTGACACACTGGAAGCAGTACATACTATTAGCTATTTCATCATCATCATTTTAGTGCTTATTCTTTTATTTTGTGACTATATAGATGCCTGTTCTATGTCAGGATCTTGCTAGTGTTGGGGTTCGGAGGTGAAAATCATGGTTCTTGAATTAAGAGGGCAGTTGCCATTGTACATGAGCTAACGGAATAGTAGTCACTGATGTGCTGGGGGTGTAGGACCGCAGTAGGGCAGAGAGACAACGAGGGTATTAGGCTACAGGTAAGAATTGTGGACACATAAGGGGTAGCATCAGAGCCAAAGCTTGATGCAGGAGAAGGAAGTCCTCAGACTTACAAGTAGAAGGAAGACATTACAGGTTAAGAAAATGGCACATTTGAAAGCTCAGGGCACTGCATGTTCTAGGAATTGTAAGGTTCTTGGTGTTGCTGAGTGTTAGCAGCTGAGGCATTGAGAGGTAATAGGCAAGACTAGAAGGAAGATTGTGGATATTTGCTCTTCGTTTTTGAGTATTTATTGATGTCTCCACTAAGTACGAGATCTGTTCTAGGTATTGACCATTCAACCTATGGAGCTTACATTATAGTTGGGAATTCGGCCATAAACAGATGTCTTTAATGACTGTCTGTATTGGCAGTGCATCGGAAGTGCCAATGAAGGGCCTGTATGCTAAGAGAGGAGCTCCTATTTTATCCTACTGAGCATGGAGGATGAGGTCAGCTTTCCACGTGAAAGATCATTGTGGGAAGGGGTGTGAAGGAGGTTGACTAGAAGCAGAGGAGACAAGTGAGGATGTAGCTCCGTGTTCCAGGTGAGCTAAAACAGGTTACAGTAGAGGCCGGTGGGGGGGATTATATGGAAAATATTTTCGAGGTAAACTTGACATGACAGTGACAGAGGGGATGATGGCCAGATTTCTGTTCTGAGCAGCTGAAATATGGGTAGAGTCAGGTTTGGGAGGAAAATAATGAGCTCAGGTTTTGTTCAGTTCATTCTGAGATACCTTAGGACAGAACTGTAAATTTTTCTTTTTTTTATCTAGCACAATTTAGTTGATTCCTTGCCTTCTTTGGAATTGTTTGCATCTTTGACTCTTGACACTTTATCGATTGTGTAGTTTTCTGTAATTACATAGTTGCATAGATGGGATTGTCAAAGTTTGAACAAAATTCTTAGTTCTTTGAGAAAGGAATTAAGATGGGTTTCAGTAAAGGATACTTCTGTCTTCAAATGGCATAAAGAATTACCCTTGTTTGAGGACCAGACAGTAGGGCACACGTAAAACAAGATGCTCTGAAAGGCTGACCCACTTAGGAAAGTTTTGGATGCATGCCTAGAGACTTCTCTGTGTATGGTGGGCCCCACCGGCATCCACGATCCAGAGCTAGCTGAGATGGGGTGGATGGTGGCTTCAAGACTCTGTTGCTGGTGCTGTTTCTGTTTCTCTTGTTAATGAAAAAAAAAAAAAAAAGAAATAAACTTTTAAAAAAAATTACACATGCGTAATAAGGCAAGTGTAAATCAAGTTATTGAGAGGCGTTTATCATAGGATAAAGAGCCAGAATAAGAATATACACACAGCAGACTGTAAAGGAAAGCAGTCAGGCCACATGTATGTGTCAACCAGAAGGCATGCTTGACCAGAACTTGCTTTCAATGTTTTGCTTAATATCTGTTGTTTATTCTGATGATCGCAAGACCTACGAGAATTTTAGGCTACTTGAATGAAGAAAAGAAAATTTTGTTATGTTCTTAGTAATTTAAGTGTGGTTCTCTTTACGGAATTATTTTCCAAAAAATGTAGAGCCATGTAGGGTCCACACTGGTCAGTGTTTCTAGGGTAACTGCCCTTGCAGGATCACCATGCCCAACTGTTCTGTAACTGTCTACCTGATGCGTTCCAAGAGCTCATCTCATGACCACTTAGTTTTCTCTTAAGTACAGTGTTGGGAGTATATAGAGTTAGTGTATGTCCTTTTTTTTTTTTTTCTTTTGCTAATTGTATGAGTAGGTCACTGGTAAATTGAGAAAAAGGCTTGCCTTTAGCCTAGAAGGTTTTATTGAAGTAGAGGGTGCCCATAAAGACCTCCTAAGAATAAAATGTTCTGAAGGAAGACATCACTATAGGCATTTCTGTGACTTGTAAAGAAGAAAAGCAAAAAGAGAACATAGAACAGCCTTAGACTGTATGGGTTCATACATTATTTTTCCATCTCATGCAGATTATGTTTGGAGAGGAAAAACTAAGCAACTGATGATTTTCTTTTCCTTTTCTATTCTTTTTTTTTTTTTTTTTGAGAGAGATTTTTGCTGTAGGGTGTGTGTGTTTGCCAGAGACAGAAAGCAAGAAATCACCAACCCCATGCACGCACACACACCCAGTATGCGTTTTAAGCCATCGGGTCCAGGACTTCAACCATGGTCAGCTACGTGGGAGTCCAGTGATGTAACCATTATACCATCTACTGGTCCTATGACTGACAGTTTTCAAAAATGGTTACTCACAGTAGAGTAGTATTTGAAGACAGAAGAATCTAATGTAAGCTTCTGCACCTTTCTTACTATCTCTGACTTCTATTTCAATTTACACAGAACCCTTTTACTGGAGTGCAAAGGTCAGAAGTGGCCTTGGCCTCTGTGAGGTGCTAGGTGCTCTCAGACACCTGTCACCTTCATCAGTCAAGTCCAAAGTCCTTAGAACATCACCTCTCTAAGCCTGTTTCTTCATCTCAGCTTAGGAATAATCACAAACTCCATCTTGTTTATGTTTAAAGTCGTTCTAGTGAACTGAGTGAAATACTTGACAAAAAATTGCTTCACAAACGGTGAAGTCATAGGAAATATTAGTTGCTGTCACCATTATGGTAAATAGTCACAGAGATATTTTTTGCCAAGGGTAAAATTTACCTGGGAATTTTTTTTAAGTTTATTTTCTTCATTCCATAAACAAGAGAGGCAGGCACCTCCCAATAGAATCTTTTTTTTTTTTTTAAGAGGTTTTTGCTATAGGGCACATGCGCTTGCCAGACAGAAAGCGAGAATTCACCCCTAGGCAGGATGGCCATGCTGCAATCCCTTCTCTTCCATTTTTCTCTTGGAATCTTGGGCATGCACGCACACGTGCCTGGTGTGAGTTTTAAGCCACTGGGTCCAGGATGCGAACCACGGTCGACTACGTGGGAGTCCAGTAACATAGCCATAACACTAACTGCTGGTCCCAACTCCCAAAAGAATCTTGACACCATAATCCACCCCAGCTCTCTAACCAGCCCTGGATCATAGGCACATGTGTGCCCAGTTTATCTGGATTGTCTCTGGACTTGAACTGGGAACCTTCCCATGTGGATCATTGTAGTAGTGTCACACTTGTCCGCTGCTCCCCCTTCAGGCTCCTACCTGGAGCTTTTTCTCTTTCACCTGAGAGGTGGAAGTCCACCTTTCTTTTCTGGTTTCCTCCTCTGATATCAGCTACTTATTATGAGACCTGGTTGGTGGGGGTGGACCAACTTGTATCTGTGATGAGAATGATCAATGGCTAGAATGATTTTAGTGTCACAGTCCCTCCCACCTTTCAATATCTGTCAACATATATTAAAGGTTTTTTTTGTTTTGTTTTGTTTTTTAAATTGACTTCTAAGTATGCTCAAAGGGAAAATAGGGGTTTTGGAAAAAAAAAAAAAGATAAAAGATAGTTACAGAAAACAAATCTCCCTTAGATTTCATTGGCAATAGAGATATATGTGTGCAATCTATAACTTTTAACTGTGGCAAAATACACATAGCATCAGTGTATCGCCTTAACAGTTTTGTAGTAAACAGTTCAGCAGTGTTAAGTATACTCCCACTGGTGTGCAGCCAATCTCTGGATTTTCTTATTTTGCAAACCTGAAACTCATTAGTAACTCCTCATTCCTCCCTTCCCCAGTTCCTGTCTGCTACCGTTCCAACTGGAGATTGTTTTGATTGTCAGTAGTTGTAAAACAAAAATGTAATATTTTTTCCCTCTTACTAAAAGGGATAAATGAAATAAAATAAAGCAAAAGGCTGAAAACTACAAAACTTAGTATAAAACTGGTGGTGGTGTTACTGTGGTCACATGAAATTTTTTTTTCTAGAAGGACAGTATTTTTTTTTTTTTTTTTGGAGAGGTTTTTGCTGAAAGGTGCTTGCGCTTGCCAGAAAGACAGATAGAGAGAGAGACACACAGACAGACAGAAAGCGAGAAGTCACCCATTCAGGGAAGATGGCCACGCTGCAATCCTTTCTCTTCCATTCTCCTCTCAGGATCTTGGGCACACATGCACGCACATGTGCCCGGTGTGAGTTTAAGCCACTGGGTCCAGGATTCGAACTGTGGTCAGCTACATGGGAGTCCAGCAACATAGCCATTATGCCAACTGCTGGTCCCAAAGGACAGTATTTTTTGATGGTTAAAGTTTCTATGGAAACAATGATTGAACATCCCCACTGAAGAAAATGACAACTGAGAGATTCTCAACTCTTTCATGAACACACATGTACCCTGACTAAAACCATTACAAATGAGAAAAATAACATAGTTCTCAATTGTCGGTAGAATGTAAGAAAAAGTGGAACCCACACAGAAAATAAAATGGGGTTACCAACAGCTGGGGGAAGGAGAAATTAGGAAAATATAATCAAAGAACAAAATTTCAGTTGGACCAGAGAATAAGTTAAAGAGATCCATTGTACGTCATGGTAAATACAATTAAGAAAATTGCTAAGACAGTAGATTTTAAGTGTTCTCAAGGTAAAAAACAAAAAATGAGAAGTGAGGTAATACATACATTAAAAGCTTTATTTAGCCATTCGCAATGTGTCATACATATATCAGAACATCATGTTATGTACCATAAATACATACAATTCTTATCAATTAAAATAATGTTTTCTGGTAGAGGGCATGTCCGTACTCACAGGGAAGATGGGAGAGAAGCACCTTCCAGTAGGGCCTGGTCATGCTACCATCCATTTTGTTCCAGCTCTTCATCCATTCAAGATCTGGGGGATGCGTGGATGTGCCTGTCATGGTTTTGAAGGCTTTAAGTTTGGGACTCGAACGCTGGACAGCCAGATGAGATCCAGCTTCCTTTGCGTGGTGTTTAACTGTTGCACCACAACACTGGCCCTGAATACTTTTTTTTTAATTAAAAAAATAAATAAAATAAGCATAATGGTTATGTTGCTGAACTCCCATGTAGTCTCTACCATGGTTCAAGTCCCGGACCCGGTGGCTTAAATGGACGCATGTGCATGTGTGCCCAAGATCCTGAGAGGAGAGTGGAGGAGAAGGGATTGCAGTGTGGCCATCCCCTCCGAGGGGTGATTTCTCGCTTTCTGTCTCTCTGTCTTTCTGGCGAGCACACATGCCCTATAGCAAAAATCTCTCCAAAAAAAAAAATAAATAAAATAAAATAAAATAAATGAAAAATAAAATAAGGGACCAGCAGCTGGTGTTAATGGTTACATCAGTGGACTCCCATGTAGTCAACTGCAGTTTGAGTCCTGGACCTGGTGACTTAAAACTCATGCTGGGTGCATGTGTGTGCATGCCCAAAATCCCAAGAGGAGAATGAAGAAGGGATTGTATTTTGGCCATCCCCCCTGGGGGGTGATTTCTGCTTTCTGTTTCTCTGTCTCTCTGGTGAGTACACATGCCCTATGGCAAAAAATCTCTTCAAAATAATATAACATAGAATAACCTAGAAGTGCTCTAAAATCATGGCACGCTTGCTCTTCCAGCTTGGGCAGCAGGGTGACCTCAGTGTTATGCGTACACACACAGGCTTTGCGTGTCATGACTTGGATTTTCTCTCCCCCTGACAACAGCATGAATCGGCTGAACACTTTGCCTCGAGGCTTTGGCTCTCTCCCAGCACTCGAGGTCCTGGACTTGACTTACAACAACTTGAGTGAAAATTCTCTTCCTGGAAATTTCTTCTACCTGAGTAAGAAACTTTGAATTCTATAAATCTCCTTAACACGGTACTTTGCGTTCTACGAGTGAAATTTATTTGCCTGGACCTAAACTCTAACAGAAATTATTGGACATATATGTTTTTTTCTTCCCAGATTCCTTTTGAATATTCCTTGGTAGCTCAGCAGTATGTGTATGTGATGTATAGTTATATGACTCCACCGGGCTGAAGTGCACTTAGTAATGGCATATCAACTTTCTTAGTGAGACTATGAACCTAAATGAGGTCAAGTCATGCATTTAGCCAAGAAACTTGACTTCTTTTTTTTTTTTTTTTTTTGTTTTTTACAAAAAAAATTTTTTTTTTTTTTTTTTTTTTTTTTTGGGAGAGGTTTTTGCTATAGGGCATGTGTGCTCGCCAAAAAGACAGAGGGAGACAGAGAGACAGAAAGTGAGATATCACCCCCCCAGGGGGGATGGCCATGCCACAGTCCCTTTTTCTCCATTCTCCTCTCGGGATCTTGGGCGGGCACACACACATGCGCGCCTGGCGTGAGTTTAAGCCACCAGATCCGGGACTCAAACCACGGTCGACGACGTGAGAGTCCAGCGACATAGCCATGACGCCAACTGCTGGTCCCTTGACTTCCTTTTTAAAGGGATTTCCAAAAAGAAATGTATTCATGTTGCTTTTAATTCTTTATAGGGTATTTGTCCAAAATATTCCAATTAATTATTTATAATATTTGGTAATAGACCACCTACCGATTTTTTTTTTTAAGTTTCCAGATAGCATTCTTGTGGGAAGCATTTTTAAAAAGTATTCTTATTTGTAATCATCTATTTTGTCCAGTACACAGACATTAACAAGTTATTAGCCTCAGACCAGTATACTTTATCCTTTTGTATACAAACACATTTCTTGCATAGAGGGTCTTAAAAATGAGCAAAAACTGATTTCCTGAGAATTCATGAAATATCCAGGAAAGGATTGCTTCCCTTAAACGAGCATTCTGCTTCCCTCAAGTAGAGACATGTGGTATCCAGAGATTCTGAATTTTCTGCCCCAGTCTCTAAAACTTTACTTACTGTTTTATATGTACTGTCTCTCCCAGACTTTCTCAAGCATATGAAACCAACTATAAGTTATTTCTTGGGCCATGGAGGAAATGGCTTTTGTTACATTTGTTAATATATAGTTTTCTCTAATTTTATACTCTTGGATTGTGGTTAAATACCTATAAACAAATAAAACAGGACATACATTTAACTATGTTCTCCTTTTTGTACTGAGTATCAAAAGGTGCTTTAGGATTTTAGCCTTCAGTCGTCTGGGGTCATGTCATCATTGTATAATACTATGAAACAAATTGATTTCTATTGCCAGATGATATGTACACTCCCAGAGAGAGAGCAAGAGAGGGAGAGAGCACCCTCTGTTGGAGCAGGATCATACCACAGTCTGTTCTCTGCCATTTCTTTATCCTGTCAGGATTTTGGCCACACATACACACATGCCCGGCATGTTTTTTCAAGTTGCCGAAGCTGGGATTTGAACTGCGGTTGGCCACGTGGCATGTATCCCCCTTAATGACCAGGCTGTGGGGCAGGCCCCTGTGAACACATTTCTGATTACTGATATTCTGTTTAAATTCAGATTTACTCAGTTAACCCCATGTCTTTACTTTAACCCCTTTATCTTCATTTATTTTGTGTCATTAAGATACAGAAATTAGTAATAATAGTTCATCTTATTGTGGCCATGCTGTGCTTACGGCTTCTCTCTCTCTCTGGAAAGCCTTTTATTTCATTGTTTATTTTTACCTTAGTCTTATTTACATTAGGGGAGTTCTATTTCAACATAGCTCTATTTGCACTGAAGAGCCGTTTCGCTCTGGGTATTGATATAACAGCCCTTGGCTGTCTTTGTTTGACTTGAGATGCAAATGGAGCAAGAAATGTGAATCGGAAGTCATAGGAAAAAAAAGATAATAGGAAAACATTTTCTGAAAATGTATTGAGACTCTGTGCCAAAAGCTGCCAGTGCCCACAGTTGTTAATTGTGTCAGTCCTTTTGGATACGGATGGTTTCCTGCACACACCAACTGCACACTAAGCCAGTAAATCTAAGTTTGACCCGCTTGTTATTATTGCGAGCCCTAGGTATGTCACAAGCTTTTCACCAAGCCAGGGTTATTAATCAAAGCTGACTCCCTTGTATTGATCAGCCCTCAAATGGTTGGGTTCCATGCCACCCTGTTTATATATTGCTGTTTAATTTGCAGCCACCCTGCGTGCACTCTATCTAAGTGACAACGATTTTGAAATCCTGCCGCCAGATATTGGGAAGCTCACAAAGTTGCAGATAGTAAGTAATTTATCTAAATTCTTAGAAAATCAATTCACTTCTGCAGCCCTTGTAAGAATGGAATCAAGTCAATTTGAGCAGGAGTAAGGTTTGTTTTGCAGGAATAAACCACTACTCCTGATACCGCTTCTTGTTGATCCGCAGACACTTGTAAATAAATTGAAAGGATTGAGCCTTAGAAAAAGAGAGGGCACGGAAGAGGACGAGTTTCTCTTGAGCGCCTCCTTACGTGAAATGGTTTTGACAACTCCTTGTTCTCTCATATTCAGCTCAGTCTTAGGGATAACGACCTGATCTCGCTGCCTAAGGAAATCGGGGAGCTTACCCAGCTGAAGGAGCTCCACATTCAGGGGAACCGCCTGACTGTTCTGCCCCCAGAGCTAGGTAAGGCTGCTGGTGATTGAACTTAGTTCCTGGCTTAATTCTTAATCATTGTTCAAATGGAGCGATTCTGTACTTTCTTCTCTTCTTAGCAAATACTCTCCACTGAGGCACCTGTTTCTGACCATGGTCGACCATTTGTCATTGGCCAGAGTTCATCTGTTTGCGTTGACCTGCCGGATGCTGTATTCTGCAGCTATGGTGTCCAGGGTCTCAGAGACTGCAGATGAGAGGTGGCCCAGCCCGGCTCCCTGTGTAGTGCAGAGGAAGGAGCAAGGGATTAGAAGTAATCGTCTTAGCTATGGCCTCTCATTTGCCAGCTGGTTGAGCTATCTGCCTCCTGGTCGGGTTATTAATCACATTTATCAAAGCAGCACTCTGATTCTCATTTAATCCCTTAATTGTTTTTCCTTCAGAAACTTTTACCAGAGAGTTAAAGTGTTTGTGACACTTGAAAATACCTTTTCCAGTCATGAATTTAGTTCTCTCTTGATCCCTTCTCTAGCAGGAATTGTTAAATATGTTCTCACGGGGAATCCCTTGTTCCTGCTCCTGCCTGGTCATTCCTATCACCCAGGGTGAGCTGAAGGCCTCCCTGAGAAATAACCTGGGAACCAGAGACTCTGAGACTGAGATTATGCTACCCTTCTGCAAAGCATTCAAGAGTTCACTGAAGTCTTTTCACAGCCTCTAATTTCTTTAATCTTCAGAACTGCATCATTTTCTCAAACTGCAGTGATTTGCTTTTCTCCTCCAAATTACCAAAATAATTTTTTTAAAGTACACATTTAACCTACAGTTCTTTGATGAAGTGGTTTCTGAAATGATTCTGGTGGTTTAAAGAGGCCCGTTGTCGTGAGTGAGAAAATAAGCACCATGAGGACGGGGGCATGGGTTGGGTCTCTGCTCTAGCCCTAGTGCCTGCCTGTGCCAGGCATGTGGAAAGGGCTCAGAGCACATTTACTGAATGAGCTGATGAAACCCAGTACTTTGGATTAGAGCACGTTATGATGGTTACAAACAGCAGAGTCTGACAGCTACGTAGAGCCACGCTGACCTGCTCAGAAGCCAGAGGCCGCCTTGCAGATGCTCCATAGCCACCCTGTAGGAGACGCAGGTGCACACTTGTCCACTCTACACCCAGTTCTGCAGGGCAGCACCAGTCTAAAGGAAAAGCAGGCACATGATTTCATTGAACGAATGTGGTTTTACATTTCTTCTACCTTTCCTGTTTCCTTAAGCTCCTCTGTTGGTATTAAAAGACCAGAAGAAATTATTTTATGGCTTTTCTCTCTTCCTCCTCTCTTGATTGAGAGAGAGAGAGAAAGAGAGACTGGTACTCTTGATGAGGCCTCTGTACACCAGCCTCCCTGTCAGCCGGGATGGCCAGCCAGGATCACGGGCACTCACAGAAGCACTGATGTGTTCAGGTCCACCCAGAATCCGAACCCGGGACTCCCGTGAGACTCCAGTGTTGTGCAGCAGCACCCTATCCACCTGAGCCACCATCGCTGGGCCATGTTTTATTATTCCAAGGGCTGAAGGATAAGAGCACATTCTCTTCGTTTAGTTATAAATAGTCTTGTTTTGGGGTCACAACTCAGGACCAAGGAAAACTTTGCAAAAAGTTTTAAGGCAAAATACTTTTTGTAGGAGAAGGTTTTTATTACAGTGATTGTTAGTCATTAAATGTTAGCATTAGTAATATGTGGGGAGTTTATGCTGAATACCAATAACCTGCTCCTTCCTTAACCTGATGAATCAAAATCGGCATGTGTGAGACAAATTCTTGCATAATTTGCTGAAGCTCACTTAATGCTTCTGATATGCATCTTGGTTAGTGTGATTAGTAGAAATGGAAAAATAAATATATATTTTGTTGTTGTATTTCAAGCAATGAAGCAATATAGGGCATTAAAAGATTATTTTATCAGATTGTAATTTGTTAGAAAAATACCTAGTCAAATTCATGCACAGCTATGTAGATATTTTGAAATCTTACTTGTATTTCTTATTTAATTACTACATGTAGTCGTACTTGTGTGCCATTTCTGTTAAGCTCCATACTAGCAGATTATATCTTTTTTATTCACGAACAGAATCAAGGGGAGAATCTTTAAATGACTTTTTATTTTTTCATATATAGCTAGCAAAGCTTGGTTGTAGCATTCGCCTGGTGGAATTTTTCCTATAGCAGGCAAACACTTAGTTGGAAAGAAATGATAAACCCCCTGGGAATCTCTATGACAAATCTAAACTCAAGATGAAGACAATGTAGTACTTATTTTTGAACAGTTTTTTTTAAGTCTAGACTAATAGAATAGATGGTAATATAATAATAGCTATTATAGTAATAGCTAGTACCAGTTAAAGCCTGTGTGCCTGAGTACTATGCCAAATGTTTTCCTGCAGTATCTTTGGTAACTGTCTTGATAGCAGTAAGCACAATTTTTACAGGTGAGGAAACAGGCTTAGAGAGAGTTGGCGGACTGTCCATAGGGGCCGTTACTGACTCAGGGAGGTAAGATTTTGAAGTGGATAGACTTTCTTTCAGGTCCATATTCCTGACCCCTCTGGTCTATTCTTCCCACTCATGTGCCAGTAAGTGGATTCCTAGAAATGCAGATTCTAATGGATTGTTGGAAATGTTGTGATGCATATTTGCACCAAAAAATACTGCATTTGGACCAGCGCTGATCAAACAAAGCCTCCCTCATAAAATGGTAGCATTTAATTAAGCAGAGAAGTGGGGCCAACAGGTGGCGTGGTGATTAAGGTGCTAGAATCCCACAGGGCCTACTGTGGTTCGAGTCCTAGACCTGGCGGCTTGCTTTCTTACTTTCTCTTTCTCTGCCTCTCTCTGGTGACTGCATGTGCCCTATAGCAAATTAATAATAATAATAATAATAATAATAATATTACATAAAATTAAATAACACTTTTTAAAAGAATTAAGTAGAGCCCTAAAGGAGGGGACGGAACTCCTCTGATGAGAGAGTGGCACATCTGGAAGTCATGAGAAGAGCTTGTGTGCTGGTGAACAGGAAGAAGACCCGTGTGCCCGGGGGTATTCTAAGAGATGAGCCTAGGAAGATAGTAGGGAAATTCATGTGGGAACTTGTGGGCAGAGTCAGTGTAGTGGTTATGTTGCTGGACTCCCACATGGCAGACCACAGTTTGAGTCCCAGACCTGGTGGCTTGAAACTCATGCTGCATGTATGTCATTGCATGTCCAAGATCCCTGGAGGAGAGTGGAGGACAAGGGATTGTGGAGTGGCCATGTCCCCTGGGGGGGTGATTTCTCACTTTCCCTCACTGTCTCTGTCTCTTTCTCTCCAGCAAGCGCACACACCCTAAGGTAGAAACCTCTAGGGAAAAAAAAATATGGCATGACTTTTCTGACAACCTAATAAGTCTGAATAAAACACAGCATCTGCCCACGCCCCTTAAAATGGCAGCAGGAGGGAAAAGTTGATAGAACATGGCCATTTGCATCATGGGCTTTGCTGATATGTGAGCAAGGCTGGAATGACACTGTACAAAATGTGGCTGTGGTGGCCTCTGTTTGGCCATTCTGTTCCAGCCGGTTGTACTGTCCCTGTATTTCTCTCCCAGTTATGGTGACAGGAATGTCTTTGGTTTGTCTCTGTTCACAATGCCTAAACTGACCATCTGGAAGCCGCTTCTGGTCAGCTGGTAAACTGAGCAGGGGCTTGATATGCCTGAAGCTCATTATTATCTGTCCCTGCGCTATCCCCTGGCTGCAGGTTTGCGACTGGGCATATTTTAACCTGATCTTCTTTGTGTATGTTTATTTTTCACATCTCTGAATATTTGTCTGTGGGTAAATGCTTCAGAGATTCCTGTGAAATTTCCTTTAAAAACAAATCTAGAATTTATTAGCTTGAGACCTTGCTGGTAAGAGTATTTCAGCCAGGCAAGAGCATCTGGATGGGTTCTGGCTTGTCAGGTCTAAGAACTTACAGGGACACAACAAAGTGAAGTCAGGGCTTTAGCACGTACGTGTGTTCCTTTTCTGTTATCATGCCTCCTTGCGTAAGTTACTTGGACTGTTTTGTTGTTTCTTAATCAGTAAAGCTCTTGTCTATCTAGCTGTAGAAAATTAGAATGTCATTGGGTCTGTTGCTCACTAATTCATTCATTCATTCAGACATTTGTTGAGTTCCTACTATAAGCTAGGCCTTGTTCTCCAAGGAACGTACTTTCCCAATAATGTAAGACTTATTCACCATCTGTTTATTGAGCCCTTCCCTGCTTTATATATTTGCTAGGGGTGTAACGAGAGACAGCACCTCTCATGGTTCTGATGTTCTAGTGAGAGAGGACAGAGGATAGATATTAGGAGGGTAGGTAGATACGTAGGTAGAGAGGTAGGTGGGTAGGTAGATGGATGGATGGCTAGATAGATAGTTAGACGGGTAGGTGGGTAGTAAAAACATATCATGTGGAGTTAAGTGGTGGGAGAAATAACTAAGCCTAGATGTGAGTGCCATGCCACAAGAGCACTGATCAAACAAAGCCTCCCTCATAAAATGGTAGCATTTAATTAAGCAGAGAAGTGAGGCCAACAGGTGGCTGGCGTGGTGACTAAGGTGCTGGAATCCCATAGGGCCTACTGTGGTTCGAGTCCTAGACCTGGCGGCTTGCTTTCTTACTTTCTCTCTCTCTCTGCCTCTCTCTGGTGACTGCATGTGCCCTATAGCAAATTTTAAAAAAATAATAATAATATTACATAAAATTAAATAACACTTTAAAAGAATTAAGTAGAGCCCTAAAGGAGGGGACGGAACTCCTCTGATGAGAGAGTGGCACATCTGGAAGTCATGAGAAGAGCTTGTGTGCTGATGAACAGGAAGAAGACCCGTGTGCCCGGGGGAATTCTAAAAGATGAGCCTAGGAAGGTAGTAGGGAAATTCATGTGGGAACTTGTGGGCAGAGTCAGAACTTTGGCTTGTATTCTGAGTGTGTCGGGCCCCCGTAAG